CTGCATACTTTTCTTTGGACATCTAGTGAAAATCTCACAATAAAGTGTTTTTAGAATACGTTAGTTATGGATTTTCATCAAGTATCAGCCGATTCATCATATACGATTTGATATGATATCTTTGAAAAATAGGAGAGTTATCCTTGGTATAAAATTCCTGCATAAATTACTAAACAATTATATTGACAGTATGGTTCTTTTACCAGAGACCAATTTCTTGTACCAAGACGTGAAGGTCGGCATAATCTGAAATTCTATTGCGAAACATCACGCACAAATGTTATGCTACGATCACCATTGAATTTTATGTGCAGTAGCTTCAATAAAATCTGTGAAAATTGCGATATTCCTTTTGACTCTCTGTCTTTTAATAATACTATAAATAACATTTGTGTCAGTACTGCTACATTGCATGATTTGTAACTTTTCGTGTTATATACTCAATTTTTCATTCTTTTTTTGAAATTCTACGTATACGAATATTTTAAATATACTTTCTTTCAACATGTACTTTTATACATTTCTATATTCTATTATTTTTGATATTTAATTCATATATACTCTGTAATAATAGCATTTGCTGTAACTGGGTACTCGTGTTGGAAATTATTTTTTTTATGTGTACCCCAGCTGAATCATTTGAATATATTGAATGCAACAGATTATATACAGTTTGTTGAAAAATATACCAGGGCAGAGCGAAACGGTTTTGTAAGAATTAAATCTATAGAATCAAACTTGTTAACTTTCACTCACAAAGCATACGAGGTATTTGAAAACAAATCTCAACTGAATAATTTCTATACAGACCCCCAAAAAGCTTTCGATTGGTCAAACTAAGCGAAATCCTTCAAAAATCTGTTAAAATCTGTTTTTCCTTTAACCAGCTCTCGCTGCCCTGCGTACGACAACTCTCAAAACTTGAAACTTGTGCGACCTAAGAACTAACGAGGTCTCACCTTCTAACGTGTGATTCCTAACACGCATTGGACGATAGGTAGTGAAAATCGATCGTCCGGCCTTGCTGTTCAAACCACCGGTTCGCACAGCGGTCTATTGAGCAAGTTCAGCAAACCACCCACGTCACCCCACCGGGCTACCATCCTACCAAAGATACAATAACACGTTTCAAATAACATGTTGCAGACATTCGGATTTGTAGAACAAAAAGTATAGTGACTGACGTTCATCTTTGGTACAATGATCATCTTTTCCATAATCCTTGGGCTATGTCGACCGAATTTTTGTGGATAAGTCGCAAAGCTACCCAAAGGAGATATTTCGCATATCAAATCTCTACATCGGTAGAGATCGCCATGAAACCCTCAATAAAGTAGCATCATATTAATGCAGGATTGTTCCAGTCGTCCGGTATTGGGACCCTTAGGGGGATTAGAATGATATACAGCCCAATCGAATTCGAGTTATTAAAGATTTACCGTACATGATTGAAACTTTTGCTTGAAAATATTTTTTGGGGAGAGCAACTACATAGCGTATGTTTATAATATACGCCTGCATTAACAAATGTTTTTTTCGTTTTTTTTTAATCAAATGTGAAACATTACAAATTTCAATGAATATAAATCAATCATTGCCTGATATATTTTTTTTCTTATTAGTTCTTTCATATCATCATTATAATATCAGACAATGGAAGTCCAAACTGATCAAATTCATGATGAAACATTGTCAATCACCTTCAAAAAAACATAAATCAATCAATCAACGCATGCAATATTGTAGAAGAAACAAAATGCTCATTGACAAACCATTAAATGAACAAAATTATCACATCGAAATATATAGAAGAAATAGGTATAAATTGAATGGGCTGTTAGTTAGTCAGTCAGTCAATAAACGAGTCTTTGAGTGAGCCGGTGTGTCAGCCGGTGAGTCAGTCAGTCAGTGAGTCGGTCTGTAGGTCAGTGAGGCAGTCAGTGAGTCAGTCGGTGAGTCAGTCAGTCATTCAGTGAGTCCGTCTGTCTGTCAGTCGATCAGTCAGTGAGTCAGTCTGGCAATAGTTCCCAGTCAGTGGGTCAGGCAGTGCGTCAGTCAGTCAGTGAGTCATTCTGTCAGTCAATGAGTCAGTCGGTGAGTTATCCAGTCAGTGAGACAGTCAGCCAGTGAGTCAAGCTTTCAGTGGGCCAATCTGTCAGTCCGTGAATCTGTCAGTGAATCAGCCGGTCTCTTTGTCTGTTAGTCAACCAGTTAGTCTGTCAGTGGGTCAGTTGATGAGTCAGTCGGTGAGTTCGTCTATGAGTCAGTGAGTCGCAATGTCAAGTTAATCAGTGAGTTACAGTCTATCAGTCAGTCGTTCAGTGAGTCTGTCAATCAGCCAGTGAGTCTGTCAATCAGCCAGTGAGTTTGTCAGTCAGATGTTGGTGAGTCAGTCAGTTAGTCTGTCAGTGAGTCAGTCAATGAGTCAGTCTGTGAGTCAGTCAGTGGGTCAGTGGGTCAATATATCAATCAGTCAGTGTGTCAGTCAGCCAGTCAGTCTGTGAGTCTGTCGGTGAGTCAGTCGGTGAGTCAGTCAGTGCGTCAGTCAGTCAGAGAGTCAGC